TAACTAACTAACTAACTACTACACACACACACACACACACACACACACACACACACACACACACACACACACACACACACACACACACACACACACACACACACACACACACACACACACGAAGAAGAGAGAGGTAAAAAAAGAAGGATGGAGAAATTTTTTTCCTTCGATCCGAGGAGGCATTAATCAAAGGAGAGTCTCTCCCTTCGAAGCTGCAGTTGAAATCGCAGCTTTGAATTACACGGTGCTCGACCGGCGGTGCTCAAGTCTCGTCGCCCCCCGAAAAGAATCGAGAACGGGCGCGACGACAAAACTTTGCCCGTCGCACCGAGAAATATTACTCGAGACATGATATAATCGAGAATATATCCGGTGAACAACTGCTCCGACTTTTTACGCGACGCTTCTGGTCACGCGATTCGCTTATCAATTTGTCTTTTTTCCTTTCCTGTTCTTTTTTTTTTGAATTCTCATTTGAATTCCGTTTGGAAAACGCAGAGATATTTCTTTTTTTTTTTCACGAAGCACGCCTATCTGACGGATTATCGCGACTTTGTTTTTCACTTTCGCGATGAATCGAGTCTATCGGTCTCGATTCGAAGTAAAATATTACTAGAGAAATGTTACTAGAACAGTTTTATTCTAGTAATAATGTGTTACAGTTACTGCTAGAGAAATGTTACTAGGACAGTTTTATTCCATATAGTAACATATTATTATTATACTAGAATAAAACTATTTTAGTAACATTTCTCTAGTAATATTTCACTACGAATGGAGTCGAACCCTCGATTATTCTCATATTCCTTCGACACACTAGGCTTTCACACCAATTGCATTTTGATATTATTATTGATTAAATTGGCGTGCAAATTTTTAAAATAAATTTCGAACATTGTGAACAAAAGTTTCTAATTCAGCTTCAAATTTACGAACAAGCGTTTTTTTTTTTGAATATAGCGTAAATACAGAGGAAATTGGAGGATGGTTCAACGAGCTTTGGTATAACGTTGGCTGAACTTTGGCCAAGTCTATGGGTAATCTCGTAATCAAATGTCCAAGTACGAAGTGGAAATTTAATCAAACTGAAACACACCGACCATCCATCCTCTCCCACTTTTGTTCACCGGCTAAACGGAAGTTACGTTCCATCACTTCTTGAACCATCTCGTTAAAGCGGATAGAGATCTGATATTGATCTAATATTACAGATAATAATAAATAATATATTCTATTTTCGATTTATTGATGCAGATTCATCGTTCTTAAAAATAATGCAATGACGAAACTCGTGAATACGATTTTTTTTTAGAGAAGAAAGAAAAGAAAATTGTTTTTTTTTTTTTTTTTTTTTTAACTTTTCTTTTTCCTAACTCTCCGTATTCCTGTCCAAATCTTCTTAGAGAACAGGTGACGCTTTTCCTTTCTCTTGTACAGACTTTACCGTGAGAAGACAGAAAATGTTAAATTAAAAAAAAAAATATTACCTCTAATATTTTCGCTTTTTTATTCTCCATCTTTTTTCGTTTAAAACCCGTCGTTTCAAATTTTGTTCTTTTTTTTTTTTTTTCAATTGTCGCAATTATTATTCGATGGAATCGAAAGGATAGAAAATTGAGAGTAATTTCGAAAATATTGGCAAAATGAAAATATGATGTCCGCCGATGCGGTGATTTGCTTTTTGTACGCGAAACTTTCAATATTTATAAATCTCGTTCCCATTGACCTGAATTCAAGCATTCATGATCACTCATGGTTATTCAATGTCACGTATAATATCTCACTTACCCGTTTTTTTTTTTTTTGTCATGCACAATCCGTTACAATCATTTATAAAGTTTTTCATAACGTGAGAAAGAAAAATGAAAAAAAAAAAAAAAGTTCCGCATATTCCGTTCCCTTCGTGCCAGTTTCTCTTCGACAAAATTTTATTTCTTTTTTAAGCAGTATTTTTCATGATCGCTAAAATAATTAGAAAAAATATTTATGCACACCTTTATTTTTCTAATACCGTATTTTTTGTAATCGAAAATTCGTACCACTAAATAATACTGTTTATATAAATTTAATATACTCTATAATTTATATCATATTTATATTACGAAATCTATTTAAAATAGTCTTGAAATAAGTAAAATTTAATTTCCGCGCTTAATCCACGCTAATCCGTTAGAATCGATCAATAAGCGCAAACCGGAAACGGAGACGCGATTGAAGCTGCATCGATAAACGCAGCATGTTGAAAGGGAATGCAATTTCTGGCTTGTTATCGATCGCAATGTATCGGCTACAAACGAACCTCACGCTTCCGGAATTCGGCCGATAATGATAATTGAACGCATCCGTGTACTCGAAGCCAATTTCTCCCGTGAATCTCGCTCAAATTTGTTTACCAATCAAAATATCCGGTGATCATTATATTTACGATATGTTCGGTTTCGTTTTATCGATTTTTCCTATCATCCTTTTGCAAATATTGGATCGAGCATTTCATAGAGAAGGGATAATTTGTTATTTATATTAGAAGTGGTCATATCACTTTGCAAATCTCATATTTCTTCGTGAAAAATAAAAAATAAATTTAGATTTATTTAGATTCAGATTTATAAATGATTTTCGGATCTGTTACTATCGATGTCATTAACGTCATCAAATTGCCTTTCTTTCGATATTTGCTTTATCTTTGAGAACAAAAAAAAAAAAGACAAATTGGATTACATGTTAAAGAAAATATATTTTAACGTATTTACTTTTTTTTTATTAAAAAAAAATTTCTTTCAACATTAATCTCGATAATTTTTTAATAATTATACTCGCAATAATAAGCTGGAAGAAATTAATTCGTACAAACAATTTTAAAGAAATATCTTCAACCATTTCGATGAAACATTTAAATGGCCACTCTTCGCCGATCAATTCCATTTAACCGAAACTCAATAATCCCATTAGATTAAACCACTTCCCCATTCATCTCGATATTAATTCAATTTAAAATTCATCCCATCCACGCCATAGCGAAGCGTTAAAATCTATGAAACCCGAGTTTCCGTCGAAAATCATCGACTGGAAAACGGAATTTTCCTTCCCGCTTGCCGTTCCGCTTGAAATTTATCATTGGATGGATACTTAACCGATTTACGATCCGACAAATTTACACCGCGATTCGTCACGTCCGTCGCGAATTTCGATAAACCGGTCAGCTTATAAAAGCCGACCGAAACGATGCGCGGCCGATAATGCAGCGACAGTCATGCACCGTGCCGCGTTTTGGTTAAGCGTGATCACGCTCGCGATCCTCTTGTTTTGGGCTGTAGAACGTGGAAACGCCACTTCGGACCCCGATCCCCGGAATATAATTTACATCATCAGCCATGGGAAAAAGAAACACAAAGGAACGATCATTGAGATCCACAGGCATCGACCGAAGCACAAGCTGAACGTCGTACTCGTCGATTCGTGAATAGATCTCGAACGGTGAGGTTAAAAGTGGGTATAGTCGATCGAGAAATATTCGTATGTAAGTGGAGATTGTGTGGAATTTTGAAGAAGATTTATGTTAGAACGAAGTGTTGATATATTCGTTTAATATTTTTGAAATGTTGATTCTAACGGTCGAAACAAATAGAGAAATACGTGTGCAATAATGTTGATATATGAAAAATTGTGTTAATCGCGACATCTGTATTTCGATTAGATTACTAGTAACAATTAGGTATAGTTCGCATTCTATGCTTTCGTTTCGTTCGTAAAGAGAGGAGCAAACATGTCCCTAGAAAATTGAAATTGAAATTAAAGTTTATTTAAAGTTTGAGTCAGAGGAAGTGAGAGTACTATTCTCTCATTCTCTTTAATTGGCATTTTTGCATACCAAATTTTACGTTTGTTTTGGCATCCAGATATTGATATTATAAAAGTATCTCGCGAATATAACAACATTCTATATATTGGATACTTTGTGCTTTCAGAAATTTTTTTAAAGTGACGGAGAACCAGGAACTGAGGAAATAATACGAAATAAATACGAGTGCACAATGGACAATTGTAAAGTGTGTGAGATATAGTTATATAAAAATATGATGCTTCGTCGTTAAATGCATGCAAATGTTTAACGTCAAAAATAAATATTCGTATACGTTTACGTGTAATCCTATTTACCTACGGAGATTGATGAATATGTTTTGTTTCACGCGGTATTTCGTGCTTAAACGCACAAGTTTTCACGTTTCGTATAACTTACGGGTCAGTCTCTTTGTCGAGCGACATCATGCTCAACGACACTCGTAAGTTAAGCGTTTATTATAGAATTATATGCAATTCTAACGGTATGTAGGCGATCGTCCCACCATGGCAGGAACTTAACTATCGTGCAGAGTGATAAATATTACAGTTATTACGCGTATGTATATGCAACAGTTGTTAAACAAGGGAACAAGAACTAGAAGAGTAAGATATTGCAAAAGTGAACCGATTCAAACGTTTCTTTCTCTTGGATTTAAAATATTCAAAGTAAGTTATGAAATGATATTTATTGTACAAAATCCTAAATCTCTTTTTTTTACAGGAATACTCTTGAAACGTTAATATTTTCCGAACGATAGGTACTTAAATCATCATGAGAATCGAAATGCAGTGGCAATCGAAGCGAGGTTAATCAATTAATCATCAATTCCTCCTCTTGGCAAACTTCCAATCCCTGAACGCGAATGATCCTGTGCTTTGTATTGCATGCTCCTCCACGATTTCACTTTCGTTCACGAGGGATATGGTTTCTGCTTGAAGAGCTAGTCACGAGGGATAAAGGAAGATAGAGATAGAGGGTTTCGTTTTGAGCTGAATATCTAAGAGAGGCGCAAAAGAGGTATAACGTGTAGGCAAGCTGTTCAACAATTGATTGCACGGACAGAACGTAGTCGCAGGCAATGGACGTAGAATGTAGAAGACCAGCAGACCCGCAAGCCCTATTTCTCCCTACTCTTATGTTTATCCATAGCTTCGCCATTGTTCATGATCAATCATAGACAACATGCAATATAGTGGGGACCAGCAGAGCTAAAAATTTCAAGTCTTATTCCGCTATTTTCATAGCTTTGCTTTTGACATTGTTTGAAATCTTCAGTTTCCAATGTTAATTAATTTCGCAACTCTTGTGTCCTAAAATCTGGAGATTTCATTTCGCCAATTCCACCATCCCTAGCTTTGCTTACGAACTGCTGAACATTGGATTAAAGTTTGAAACCTGCACTCAGCTAATTTTGCAATTCCTGACTTTCCTCTCTAGTAGATCTAAAGTCTCTGCCGCCAATTTCCCTAATTTTCCACAGCTCTATTCTCATCCTCCAGAAAATGTAGCGGATCAAATGGAATTTAAATTCTCAAATTTTCAATCCCACTGCCACTAGCTTCGAATAACTACTTATCCCATAATATTATCTAACCGCGGGAATATTACACTCGCAAAATGGTTGAATCAACAGAGAGCAAAGGAGCACCGGAAGCGTTCGGTCAAGGTAAGACGTTGCCTCTGCTCGCGGCGTATGCACATTCATTTCTCAACCGCGCTTTCCTCCGCTCTCGATGAAACGTTTTCCTTACCTATGGTTGAAGGCATCGGTTCTTCCATTAATTGCACCTTGCTCTTCGTTCTGCGTTTCCTCGCATTCGTTTCGCTTCTCGATGAGTTTGATAGCTCGTGGCTATGATGCGCGTCCAAATGCTCATCGAGAAATGAGTTTAACGACGAGTTCGTCGAAATTTCGTACGAATAGGTGGAGAGATTCGCCAATATCGATGGAACAATTTTTTTGCTTCGAATCTGGCTAATAACGTTGATTGCATAAAGGTTATGTATGACTTTAAGAAAGAATATGTTTTGTTCGTATGAGTGATTCAAAGTGAATAAGAGTGAAAATAAAAGGATGAAAAGAAACTTGATTTAAACTGTTATTAAGATTGATATATATATATACCCTTTGTCTCGACGAGGATAATCGCTGGTATTAAACTGGATTGTCACTGAACTTTAATCGAGATCAAATGTTTTGACCCTTTTATTGCCTTATGATCATTGTACAAACGTAGCGGATCTTATTATTTGGTAACAATAATACGTTATAAATAAAAGAATAATATGTTTCAATTTTGAAGATATATTAAATATAATTTTGATCTTATTTTAAATCGGATCTCGCAAAATGATCGAGTCTCCAAATTTCCAGTATCAGACGAAACTGTATTGAAGTAACGATTAAATCATAAATTGATAGCTACGTTATTATCATAGTTTCGAAATTGGACAATTTATAATAATCAGATTACACCGCTACACGATATTACATATATAGATATGGATAATTACATATATTAATTACATTAGATAGCGGGCACGTCTTAATTTGAATTTCCTTGCATCGTCCATGTTACATTGTTAATTAATATAGAAAAATATAATTTTTTCAAAATTTGAAGAAATTAAATCGGGATAAAAATTTCGTTATAAACTCGTCGAAGTTTATAATACGATTTGTAATACGCGCTATTTGTCGAAACCATATTATTTACCGATAATCGGCGGAAACACAACGACAGATCTGACCCAAAACCATAAAATTGCGTCGCATCGTTCTAGTCAATAACGTTCGAGTCGATAAAACATACGTGTATGTGTGCGCGTATGCATGCATGTATCCAACGTGTTCATCGTACCAGCGAATTTCTGATAGGCCAGAGCCACGCGGCTGTAACCGAGATTCACGGAACAGATGTTCCACGGCGAATTTCCGGCCGGATATTTATTAATTTCCGGCAGTGTCGTAGCTTCGCGCTGCTTTGTAATTAAGTTCACTTAGAGACTCGAAGGAAGGGAAGGAGGGACGAAGAGCGATGAATGTATAAATCTTGTGCCGAATCCGTGGACAAATTGCACGAATAACATCACCTGTCTTTAATGATTCGCCAATTTCTGGCTTTTGTCTGTAAAACGCGCGTGTATACATTTTTTTCCGTTGCTATTTTTGAGGTATTGTTCGTATTTTTATTTTAGTTCATGCAAGAACGTCCAGATGGCAGTAGCGACGTGCTTGTTTTAGAAATTCACGACGCGCTACGCGTGTATTTTCTTAGGTTTAATTTTCGATAAGTATAAAAGTGAATATGAAATATGAAGTAAAATATATAAGGTTTTTAATAAATGTTTAATGGATGTGGTAATTTCACTCGTTCCTATTCCCTTCGTTAAATTGATTATTCCTGATCAAGTCAATCGCGTCTATTGATCAATGGAATTAATAAGTCGAATTTGAATCAACAGAACGCTGGAAATTTACGCAAGGATTATCGTTGGTATAAATTTTATCGATATCGATAGATTTATATCGCCGAAAATTCATTCAAACATCCATTCAGATTTATACGTTGAAAGAAATACGGTTTCATCGCTTTTGTCGTGGATTACCCACGTGAGACCTCGTCTTTGTCGGTGAAACGCGTAGAACCTGTGCCTCATTGTTGTCGGTGGCCGAGCTTTTCATACGTTCGCCGCGCCAATTAAACCCACGTGTTGTCGTTACGCTGTGATGGGCGGAGAATGCGTTGAATTAAGAAAGGAATTTTTGAAACAATGTGGATTGAAAACGCGCGTGACGATTTTAGATTTTTTGGGATAAGGAGGGATATTTTGTTTAAAAGTAAAACGGCAAAATTATTTTTTTTTATTATCAACATCAAAAATTGAAGCATGTATTTTTTCCGTAAATGGATAGATTTTTGATAAATTTTGATAAAATTCAAAACGATCGCTGACGATGCTTCTATTAAACATGTATGCAAAAGCTGTATATGTAGAAAACTTTTCTTCGTTTTTTTTTTTTTTACACGTTTCTTAATAAAAATTCGCATTCGGTGCGCGTCAATCGCACCGAATGCGAATAACATCTTAAAATGTGGGTTTCTACATTGACTTCGATCTTACGACAAATTTTAGACATCGTATTTGTAAAAATCTAAAAATTATGGCCGAAGTTTGCCAATTAGAGGAGGAGAAAAAACTCGCGTTTCGCGCGAAAAGTTGGTAAACCGAGGCATCCATTGGGATTTCATGAAAGTTTCCAGTTTCGAGACGTCTTTTACAGCCGATATCGGAAACTTTAATCGTTCCAGATTTCACTGAGCCTCTCGATTCTCGATTTTCTGACAACGCGCGATTGTTGTCGAAAATTTGGAAAACGGAGAGACTCCATCGATGTAAACTCATTTCTCATCGTCGAAGTTATAGCTTATAACGGGAAGTTTCATTTAATTTTTTCCTTTCGAAAACAAATTTCTCTTAAAAATATACTTATAAGAATCATAATAAATGGATTTATTTATTTATTTTATTCTTTAATTATCGCAATGCTTAATGCTTTTTCTCTTTCTCTCTTTTTGTACATGCATTCTATAGAAATTTTTTTGTGTATTTCAACCTTGCACAAATGTAAACATCCATTATATAATTCAATGCAAAACCGAAGATACATATACTGTTCACTGGTAGAAAAAAGTCTCGCAGGACGGCACAAGGACAAGAGAGGTACCTCGCTATCCCCACTTCAGACGCTTTGTTGACAAACCACACAGTAGTAGAAAAGCTATAGTTTCAATATTCAAAATCGTAAAGATTCATTTCATTTATGAAGCTAGGTTAGGATAATCATGTAAGATTGGAAATATTTTCGAAATTATTAATTATTTTATACATATAATTATTATCTTCACTATTTGAATACAAAATTTATAAATTAAACTATTGTCAATTTATAATTAGTCTACGTATATTATGAAAAATAAGAAATTTTTACATTATATCGATACGTTAGAATTCTCTTAATGCATTGAGGTTTAGATTGCTATACACAAATGACAAATACCATGTCGATCGAGAGATCGAACGAAAATGAAATCAAAAAACTCGAGATCATGAAAACTTGAATATTTTCAAAAAATGGTCCTCGAGGTCATCGTTCACTTCTCAACTAAGAATCTCGTTAAAATTTCATTTCGCGAGCAATGCGCCCTTTCCAGTTCGTTCCTTCGTCCCTCGAAATACAGCCTTCATGGAGGAGAGGAAGACAGAGCACGCGAGATATTGCATCGCGGGTGCTCCAGGAATTTCGTCGTCCTTACGTCGCGCGACATATTTTATGGAAAGCCGCCTTTCTTCTTGCGACCATCTCCATTGCAACGAGATCGAACGTCTTCGCTCCATGATATATAAATAAACGAAATTTTTGCAAATTCCACATTTAACACAGTTTGAATTTTTCGAGGAATATTTTTTTTATGAATAATCGTAAAAATGTCGTCATTGCTTTCCTGTGTGTTCAAACAATTCACGAGGAAGTGAAGGTTTAAATAAAGCTTGATTACAGAAAAGAAAAATTGATATTAATTTTAAATTTGAGAGATCAGATCGTGTTAATGTTTAATTGTATCAAATGATTTTTTAATTCTTTTTCGAATAAAGTTATATAGATTATCTGCCAACAATTCTACATTTCTATATTGCGCGAGTAATTTTTTTAAAAAATTTAGTTAATTCTAGATTGGATTCGTGCGAATTATCGACAGTAATTTATTAGAAGATTATTGCACGATTATATAGGTAAAAAGTATAGAATAAAGTTTTTAGACTAGTTATATTTCAAATAACTTTGAAGTAACTTTGGTCACGAAGAAAGGAACTTCGTATCTCTAAATTCCGAACCGTCTTCTCAAAAATGCCATGAATTTTAAGAAGATTTAGATTTTTCTCAAACTTTGCTCAATGTTTTTTTTCAAAAAAAAGGACAAAGAAAGTGTGGAACAGACGATTCAAAGACTATTAATGTCACATTAATCGCAAACGCAAAGACGTCTCTTCCTTTTTTTTTCCTCTTCTTTCTCTCTCTCCTCTTTCCTCCCACTGCTGTTCCTTTGGCACACTTCCAAACGAATCATAGCTTCCCGCCATTGGACCACGTTTTCCCCTCTCCTGTTGAAGAAATTAACTTAGGATCCTGTTGAACTCGCGTTACAAAGAGACCACGAACGTTTGTACTCTTGCTATCCTTCGACAACGGGCGCTTGTTAACCGTCAATGAGAGAAAATCGTTCTTGACTCTGATTTATGTCCGTGAAATTCGAGTGAACTCCCCTAAGGATCGCGCGACTTTATCACGAATCTTTACGAAGCGGGATGGATCTTGAAGGATTTTTTTGGATGAGAATATTCGAATTTCTTACTTTTTTAAATTTTATAAACAAAACGAAATTAAAATTGTATTTACGAAAAATTTAAGATTAAATTTTGGGAAAGTTTTCGTTCTTCTTTAAAAGACTTCGTGCTGAATAATTTCATCGTTACAAGATAATTACGGATAATAACAATGATTAATCTTCATTGAGATTTCATTCTAATAAATGATCAATAACAATTTTCACTTTAACAAATCTTATCTTTAAAATAATTGAGATATTGTATTTTTTTAAATTTCTATAAAGATAATTAAAGTTCAAAGATCGAGAGCTTCCATTCTTCTTTAACAAATTGTTACGAGATAATTATAACAAATAAATAAATCCTAATATTTCCCAAAATTAAACGCACATGAAGAATTAAAATTCGGAACGCGGACCTCGAAGAAACATCCGCTCTCCTTCAAAAGACTTTCACGTTCGGCGCAGACAATTACAAGAGTTTTAGTCCAGAAATGTCTGGAGATCACGTAAGGGGCAGGTTCCACGGCTCGATTGTTTTTCCAGACGCGGCACGATTTGTAATTTCGCGTTATTTCACGATTCAATTAATGAAACGTCAAGGGCAGCCGGTTTACTAGCTTTAGCTGGAAAAAGGAGGAAGGAGGAAAGAAAAAAAAAGGAAAAATTGCGGAATCGGGGGAAGAGGTATCGAAATCCCGGCGTGGAAATTTTTTTTCCAGCCAAATAAATCGTCCCCGGGATCCAATATCTCTGAGAAGTTTCCGCCACAATGGCGGCGTTCTCTGTCGGTCAAAGTTTCTCAATGCGGGGAAGCTTTGCCCGCTTTGGAGGAACTTCCAATTCGTGTCTCATTGTTGGGAGATCGTTGTCTCCGTGAGAATCGACGAAACGTTTGTCGCTTAGAAAACATTTTCCAATCGATCCACGAGGAAATTATGGTTGTTCCCTCGTGAGAAATTAGCTTGTAGATAATATAATTGATTGACAAACTTTTTCCAATTGATAGACGAGGAAACGACTTGTGGCTTGTCTTCGTGGGAAGTTGGATTGTTGGAAATGGTGGATTCTTTGAGAATATTTTTGATTGTTTTCGTGGTTATAGCATAATTGAATAGTATGACTGATTAACAACCTTTTCCAATTGGCAATTCAACGAGGCAATTATTGTAGCATAATGGAACAGCTGATTAACAACCGTTTCCAATCGGTTAATGAGAAAACGACTTATGGCTGTTTTCATGGAATATTTGTCGAATAGTGGATTGTAGGCTTTGAGAATATTTTTAATCTTTCTTTTTTAATATTTTTGTGATCGTAATTGAATAGTATAATTAATTAACAACTTTTTCCAATCGAAGAACTTATGGCTGTTTTCATGAAAAGTTGAATATTTGTAAAATAATGGATTGTAGGCTTTGAGAATATTATGGCTGTTTTCATGAAAAGTTAGAATATTTGTAGAATAGTGGATTGTAGGCTTTGAGAATATTTTTGATCTTTGTTTTCGAGATTGAATAGTATAACTGATTAACAATCTTAACAATCAGAGGACTTATGGCTGTTTTCATGAAAAGTTGGAATATTTGTCGAATAGTGGATTGTAGGCTTTGAGAATATTTTTAATCTTTTTTTTTAATATTTTCGTGATCGTAATTGAATAGTATAACTAATTAACAACTTTTTCCAATCGAAGAACTTATGGCTGTTTTCATGAAAAATTGAATATTTGTAAAATAATGGATTGTAGGCTTTGAGAATATTTTATTATGGCTGTTTTCATGAAAAGTTGAATATTTGTAAAATAATGGATTGTAGGCTTTGAGAATATTTTATTATGGCTGTTTTCATGAAAAGTTAGAGTATTTGTAGAATAATGGATTGTAGGCTTTGAGAATATTTTTGATCTTTGTTTTCGAGATTGAATAGTATAACTGATTAACAATCTTTTCCAATTGATCGATGAGGAAACGACTTATGGCTGTTTTCATGAAAAGTTGGAATATTTTTGACGTATCTTTATTTTTGTAATTATTTTGTAATTATAACATGGTGAAGTAGTATAACTGATTAATAATTGATCTATGAGGAAATTACTGTTGTTTTCATGATCTCAACACAATGGAATATTATAATTGATTAACAATCTCTTCCAATTGATGGATGAAGAAACGACTTATGGCTGTTTTCATGGAAAGTTGGAATATTTATAGAATTCTCTTAGTGTATTGGATTCTAGTGTATTTTGTTTTCGTGACGTAACAAGCTGATTAATAAGTGAAAGAGCATATGTTTAGAAAATGTTTTCCAATTAGTCGATGAGCAAATGATTTGTGGATTATTTTTTAGAATGGCGAATTATAAGTTTTGAAAATATTTTTAATAATGTAATAATGTATATATTTCTAATGAAATCTTGTAATGAATGTAGTTAAATAGTTAAATTAATAAGAGAGAAAGAGAGAAAAAAAATGTTTTTGAATGGATAAATAAGTAATTTTTAAAAATCGTATATAACAATATCTCGAAATAGAATTTACTCGATAATATTTTTAAACTATTTTAACAATTTTTTTTTTTATAAAATCTGACGATAAATCATGATTGAAAATAGTTTTCTTTTCAAAAGTTCAGAAACACATGGCGATTCGATGCAGCAGAAAAAGCTTGTAAACGTGATATGGAATATTTGTAGAATAGTGAATTGTAGGCTTTGAGAATATTTTTGATCTTTGTTTTCGAGATTGAATAGTATAACTGATTAACAATCTTTTCCAATTGATCGATGAGGAAACGACTTATGGCTGTTTTCATGAAAAGTTGGAATATTTTTGACGTATCTTTATTTTGTAATTATTTTGTAATTATAACATGGTGAAGTAGTATAACTGATTAATAATTGATCTATGAGGAAATTACTGTTGTTTTCATGATCTCAACACAATGGAATATTATAATTGATTAACAATCTCTTCCAATTGATGGATGAAGAAACGACTTATGGCTGTTTTCATGGAAAGTTGGAATATTTATAGAATTCTCTTAGTGTATTGGATTCTAGTGTATTTTGTTTTCGTGACGTAACAAGCTGATTAATAAGTGAAAGAGCATATGTTTAGAAAATGTTTTCCAATTAGTCGATGAGCAAATGATTTGTGGATTATTTTTTAGAATGGCGAATTATAAGTTTTGAAAATATTTTTAATAATGTAATAATGTATATATTTCTAATGAAATCTTGTAATGAATGTAGTTAAATAGTTAAATTAATAAGAGAGAAAGAGAGAAAAAAAATGTTTTTGAATGGATAAATAAGTAATTTTTAAAAATCGTATATAACAATATCTCGAAATAGAATTTACTCGATAATATTTTTAAACTATTTTAACAATTTTTTTTTTATAAAATCTGACGATAAATCATGATTGAAAATAGTTTTCTTTTCAAAAGTTCAGAAACACATGGCGATTCGATGCAGCAGAAAAAGCTTGTAAACGTGATATGCACGTTCAACGAAATCGTATTTCATCGTTGCAAAAACTTTTATGGTTCGTACTGGCTAATACAGATCTATGGACGGCCGTGGAAAAGAATACAAAGCAATAAACGTAGGAGACTCATTAATAGTTAGTATCACAAAAAACAATCATAGAGCCGCAGTTTAGTCGCAGATTTATGGCAAGTATTAAGAGAATTTTTTCTCGTTAAATCGGGTAATCTAGGAGTATAACTCGACATAACTCGATTAAATTATCTTTCTCTACACACAAATTTTCTACTCGAACATCAAAAAGATTGTCAATTGTCAAACAAACAATTTATTTTTGATAAATTTATAAAACTAATTTATTTAAGATAAATTGATTTAAGATAAACAAACGCAATACAAAATTCAATTATTCGATAAATACTTTCATGCAAATCATTTAATTGGACTGCAACTTGAGAAAATAACTAATCAAAAATTTCGAATAAAATTATTTCAAAATGCTCATTTATTCGCCACTATTATAATCGATCCGCTTTTCGTATAATCGTTTAAACTATCCAAAATAACTTTATTCAACTGTTAAATTTTCTCTATCACCGAAATCACCCATTAATTATACATATTCCATAAACAAATTTTCTCTTTTCTCTCGAACCTGTGAGCCATCAAAATTAATCATCGAGAGATATTATTTCCTTCAACGAAAAACAAACTTGAGGAATCAATAATATTTCCGTCGAAGATAAAAAAACCTAGCGAAAGCAGCGAAGCATACTACTCCTCGAGAAGGATAGAAGAGGGGGAAAGGAGGAGGGGGGGGGGGAGGAGAGGACGACGCGCCTTAACGCGAGGCGAGGATCGTCGAAAAGTTTGGAGGAAAGCGAGGAGAACCGGCGGGATCCTCGCGCACGCGTAACTTTTCCCTCGACGAGAGCGGGACGCCGATGAAAAAAGGAAGATTTATTTGCCGGATCCGTGAGCGGAATGCCGGGTGAAAAATTGCGACAGATAAGGAAACCGCGCCGGGAAACCGATGCCAAATATCGGTTATTACTTCAAATAACCTCTGTTCACTCTGTATGGTGAAAAAAGAAAGTACGCGAGTATGATGATGCTTTGTCGTTGGGAATATAAATTGGAATTTTTCGGGATTAGAAAAATTGGTGGTTGGCGATGGCTTTTGCTCGATGGCTCTCTTTCTTTTCTCTCGTTCTTTGCGTTTGAAAAATATGGGAATTAATGTTTTGTTTGTTGGTAGGATAATATGATTTGAATGAGAAGAAGGAAGAGGAGAAAGGTGATTAATAGTGATTTTTGTTGTTTTCGTTGGGAAAACTATGCGGTGGTAATCCTTTGTGCGTAATAAATTAGGGAAACAAGCTTTAGAAGATTACAGAATGACGACACTTTCGCTGGATTGATGCTTAAATGATCGAATTCGAATGATCTTTGCATTTTAAAAA